ACAGAATACATTATCCTCTCGAATCCAATACTATCCAATAAAGATACCATAAACAAGAAGAATCTTCCTTATCTTCTTCGTTCTTTATTAAAAATTTAATCAATAAACATCTTTCTTTATAATAAAAATTCTTGGATTATCTTGTGGCGCGCAAAATACATTAATCCTTCGAATCCTCGATAAAAAGAAAAAACAATAAACCTTAAAAAAAAAAAATTTGTTCAGAACCTCTTCAAACAAACACCCTGATAAAAGTTTTCTCATCGCAATTTTCCATCCTTATCCATTTCCCCGACCAAACTCAAACTTCATTTTTTCCACTATACCGACTCCAATTTCCCTTCCAGCTGAATATCACAAATGTGTATCGTTGTACCGTTTAATTATCATCTCGAAACATCTACGACCCTCTCTCTCTCTCTCTCTCTCTCTCTCTCTCCTCCGACAACGAGGACTATCTCCAAGTCCAAGAGGGTTGGACACGCTCGAATAAGCGTGTATCCAAGGTGACAAGCAATTAGCAACGTTATTTGATGGGCAAACACCTATTAACCATTCCGAGATGGCGGAGGAAAGGGGTTGGAGGAGGATGGTGGATGTCAGGTGAAGAGTAACCGAGACTTTGTTAAGGTCATAGTCTAGACAAGAGATTGTACACAATCGGGCTCCAATTTCTTGTCAGATACTGAGAAACAAGATATTCCAGTCCAATTATGGGATAATATTCCGTATCCGGAATATTCCGGATGGAATAATTGAGATGTGATATTAATATAATAAATAAACGATACACTGATGATTATATATTTATTGTTGAAGACGTAAAAAAATTAGATGTTCGATTAATCTCGAAAAATTGTACAGTTTATAGATATTCGATATATTCAGATATATTTTTTAGCATGGTATAGAAATATAGTATAGAAATATCGCGTCGATATAATATAAAATGGGCCACGAGCTTTTGGAATAAAATTCCAAAATTATATACGCGACGCGAAGCGGTATTGGCATAATTTTATCTGAATTATGGCCACTTTCCGGCGCATACGCTTTCACAGCTTAATAAATGTGCACAAGTATGCGATGATACTGCAGAGCATCGAAAAAGCGATCGCGTTCTAATTTCCATTCTTTGACACTGACTCCTCTTCTTCTCCATCGATATTTTTACAAAAGCGATAAAAAAGAAAAGAAAAGAAAAGAAAAAATTAAATTATCCCCAAGACCATCCACAATTATCCTCCATCCCTTTTCATTAACCCCTTTTTCAATATCCACGTAACATTATATCAATCGCGCTTCCTTCCATTCGCTCGATTATTAGCTTTTTTCAAAAAATTTTCACTCCTTTCACGCCTTCCCCCAGAGAGATAGAGGTGTAACATCCGCGTTAAAAAAAACTTCGTTTCGTTAAAACAAAGAATTATTCAAAAGCTGAACGACGAGCTTTTACTTCGAAACGTGCACGCGGAACTTTCCTTTCGATCCGTCCTTTCGCGCTTTTAATTTTCACGGATTTATATATGGCATACTTTCTCTCAACACGTTGCCACGACGGTGGATTCGCGTCGAATTTTAACAAGAGGGGTTGCTCATTTATATCGAGTAGAAGAAATCTTTGTAACTTTTAATTTACGACAACAATTTTCACGCCGAGTAGAAAATTTCGGCACAAATGCTTGGAAGAAATTTGCGGTTGTTATGGTGGCGAGGGTGCGGTTTAAGAAAGGGAAAAATTATGGGGATAAATATTTTGCCCCACATTTTCCCCAAGCTTATAATCAACTGGGATATTAAGATAAAAAAGTTGTGGAATTAAAGGTGGAGAGAAAGAGAGAGAGAGAGAGAGAGAGAGAGAGAGAGAGAGAGAGAGAGAGAGAGAGAGAGAGAGAGAGAGAGAGAGAAAGTTTGGTCTTTGGGCGGAGAAAAACCGAGGACGATGTTCAAAGTCTTTATGTATGTATTTTTTAACGAGCATCTTGTAATAAGCTAAAAAGTTGAAGTTTTATGAAATATAGGAAAATAGAACACGGTTGTTAAAAGTTTGGAACAAGGGTTTTGATTATATGTGTATATATATATATATATGATATACAAAGTTTTATCCCGAGTTTGAGCGTAATTATTACGATATAATGAGATTCTAGAATATTTTAATTAATCCTTTGTGCGATTTAATTGTTTCACGATAGGAGAATTAAGAACTTTCGATATCTTTCGAACGCTTCTTCTTGGATATCGGCAACTTTCAAAATTCTAAAATTCCTCTTATGAAACTTTCCACTGGAAACTCATAAACTTTTCTTCAATATTTAAGAATCAAAGTTTTGGAAATTAATATTCCTTGAAATCTTACCACTTTTTCCTCGATATCGACAATTTTCGAAGTTTCAAAATTTTTTTTTTAGCACTTGGAATTGCCAAAGTTTTCTTCCAAGAATTCTTCTTGGAAATTCTTAAAAGTTTAGAATTTCTTCTTTAATATTAGAAGAATTTTTTTTTTAAAATTCACAAATTCCAAAATTTTTACAATTCCTCTTGAAAAAAATCCTGATTGAAATTAACAATTTCAAAATCCTTCTCGATCTCCAAGAATTTCAGAATTTCTTCTCAACACGATCTCCAATTCCAAACTTTCAAAATCAAAAAGGAACAACCTCGACCAAATAAAATATCCGTCTCAATTTGCGTACGAAAGCGAATACTCTGTTTCTTTGAAACAGAGTCATACTCGACTCTGTAAACGCGTCACACGGTGGCATAAAGTTATCGGGAACAATGGACATCCGATTTCCGGCAAGGCCGCCATTCACCACCAGGAATTTGGCCGCCGTTAAATTTTACGGTTTACAGTTGCGATCGATTAACGCTCGAGAATGGTTTCAGGTGTAATGAGTTATTTGATAGTTCATAAAATTGATTGTTCGCTGATCGATTGTTCGCCCGATCGATCGCTCCCAACACTTTTCCAAACTTTCAACGACATCCGATTACGGCTCGTCGTGTATTTTGTTTTAATTGCGAGAAGAGAGGAAGGGAGGGGGAGAGATAGAAAATGGAGAGTGAGAACATGGCCAGGATGTAATTATTTTAATTTCGCCGGGAAATCGGCAAGTGGAATCGGCAAAGAATTATCGATCGAACCGGATGGTACGAACGAACGATGATCGACCGTCGATAATTGAAAATTCGTGTTTGGAGAAAATTTGGTCGAGGATTACGGTGGAAGGAATTTGTTGACTTTCACGAATATTTTTGAATTGTAAATGTATTTGAATATTTTCAATTTGGCGATAGATCAGAATTTTTCGAATTTTTTCTCCGAATAAATTATTAATAATATATTTTTGAATTGTAAATGTATTTGAATATATATTTTTAATTAGATTAGAAGGAAGAAATTTTTCGAATGAATTATTAATAATACGTATATAAAAAACATGATATGATAGAATACTTGTAACTTTTTAACTTAATTTAACCTAATTTAATCTTAAGTTAATTAGCACGAGACGAGAATATAAGGATAATACAATAATTACTACTGTCAGACTGAAATAAATCGAGGAATCTGAGGGCGAGCCGGGATGAAATTAGGAACAGAATTATAAAGGATGGATTAAACGGAAGTTGAATCGACACCATGCTTTTCGGAATAATCTTACGAGTTATTAAGCGATGAAGATGGAAAAAAGATAGATAAGATGAAAAAAAAAAAAAATAGGCCGTTTAGGGATAAATATGCGAGCTTCTACCCTTGCAACGTCGAACGCGGCGGGATAGGTGCCCGTGCTCATTTTCACCCCTTTAAATTTACACACTCTCGGTCATGACAGGGGAACATGGGCCGTGTAACGAAATTTCGCGCTCGGCGAAAATGCACAGGCCCGTCCTTTTATTGGAAACGAAATTCTCAGGGCTCTCAGGGGTTGCAACATTGTACATTCTCGTTCGTAAATCTTTTGATACCCAGTTATTTCTGATTAAATTCTTCGTGTAACTATAACAGTGTACATCGACGATTTTGTTCTTCTAAATTTTAATTATCTATTAATATTATTTAATAATTTTGAAATTTAAATCAACGGAGGATTTATCAAATAATTTTCAGTTCAATCTCGTGTAAAAGGAATTAATTCGAATATTTTGACTGAAAGGGTTGAAAGGATTTCATTGGTTAAAAGTAAGTAATAGAAGAAAAAGTTTAAGATGATAAATCTCAATCTAATAACGTATTAACAAGTGGAATAACGTTATAACTATTAATATTACAGATAATAAACAGACTACAATAATAAAATAATAACAATTTTATCATTATTTTATGATTACAACACACAGGCAAAGTACACATATGCAATTACAAATTATCAATTATTAATGTTATAATATAATATTAATATTTTAGACTATAATGCAATATAATTTATGTAGATTATACATTACCTGTAATATTAATAATCACATAACATTATAATAAATCATTTAATACATAACCCATAATAATAAATATTAATAATAATCTTATAATCACACATATAGAGATAAAGTATAACTACAAATTACTATCTTAACTCGATATTTATAATACTACAATATTAATAACACTATAATAATAATAATAAAATACTATTAATATATTTCACTATTGTTCTCGTAATTTCAACTATTTATATCATCCACAATGCAACACATAATAATATATAATCAAAGAAATTTTACTATTATAATAAAATACTATTAATAATATTTTACTACCGTCCCACAATTACACAGGCACGTCCTATTTAATCATCCACGATACAATAACGAAATAATCAAAGAAATAATCTCAAACTATCTTACCGTATATTTTATTCAACAGACTCTTTCATTCGGCCAAAGAGGCGGAAGAGTGACGAGAGAGGAATCGAAAATCGCGGATGGTACGCGATAAGAGCGCAGGAGGGGAAGTTAAACGCGAAGAACTGTTTCAGAGGGGAATAAACGGTACTCACCCACGTGGAAGGCGATGAGGTGTCGTAATTCAGGATCGACCCCGAGCCGGGACCGTCTTGATACGTGCTGGTAGCCGAGCTTTTGGAGAAATTGGTCTTGTATCTCGAGCGGTTTCTCGTGAGAGGCCAATCTCCTTCCGGATTCCCCTCCATACTGAAAAAAACCCACGTAATCTCTTAATGGATCTTATTATCGGCTCGGATATCTCCCGATCTTGTTTACATAAAAAGGAATGTAATTTCCTCGGAAAGGGACAGACAGGACCGGTGGAATTTGCGAAGGTTTTTTGACGAGTTTCTTCGTGGGATGGAAGAAGGTCGAGGGTGAATGATCCTTTCTCGGGGGAATAATTTTATTTCGTTTATTATATGTATTAGTTAGGGATTGGTCACGGGACTATTTGGAAAAATCGAATTTTCCGTTTTCTTGAAAATTTTGTAACAACTTTGAGATTGCTCGAAAATCTAATTCGAACGGAAAATTAAATCTTAACTTTAGTTAGATTTTCGAAATTTCGAAAAATCGGTTATATATCAATGAAATCGAACGAATTATTTCTCTATTTAAAATTTTAATGTTGTAGCGAACAATTTTCCAATGTTTCGTTTACTTCAACGTTTAATATCAGATAGAAAAAGAGAAAAAAACGTAGTATCCGACGAAATTTAACAGGTTTTACGATAGTTTCCGTATATAATATGATGGTGAACAGGACGAGGAAAAAAAGAAAAAGAAAAAAAGAAAAGCAAAGATAAAAGGTAAGAAGAAAATCGGGCTCGTGTCTTCTCTTCCCTTGGCTAGCGACGTTTCGTCACGAACGACGAGTTTTTCGCGTGTTCCCGCGTAAATCTTGCCAACCTAATTAAGCGAGACGCGCGGGCCGACCGCGTTCCATCTTAATTTCGACATCCGGTGAATTTTCCGGATCGAGCCCGCGCTTCCCTTTCATCTTCGGTAATTAAAAAACACTCCCCCACGCACCAGCTATGAAATGCTAATAACGATTATGGCACAGCAACGCACAGCAACGTGAGGCTTAATAACGTAGCGATTATTTGGGATTAAATCCCAAAGAATAGATCGTTTTTAACGATTTATTATTTTTTTTTAACGATTTATTATTTGGAAAATAAATCTGGGATAAAAATCTCAACAATTTTTCTCCCTCTTTCCTTCTCTTCTTTCGTTCCTCCATCTTTATTTATATAAATTCAAGAATATTCGGTCGCATCTTTATTCAAAAGGGATATTTATAGTCTCACGTTCGTATCAAATCTTTGGATGGCATGATCCAATAGCTAATCTAATTGCATTAAACTCAAGAAATAAACTCTTCTTTTGCACGTGAAACGCTTCGATAATAATATGAGGATTGACGAGTAAAATTTAATAGTTGAGTGCAAAGTTACTTAAATAACTTTATATTCTTCGAAACGTAATAATAATCGTAATAATAATAAAAATTTTTTCGTTCCTCCATTTTTATTTATATAAATTCAAGAATATTCGGTCGCATCTTTATTCAAAAGGGATCTTTATAGTCTCACGTTCGTATCAAATCTTTGGATGGCATGATCCAACAGCTAATCTAATTGCATTAAATTCAAGAAATAAACTCTTCCTTTGCACGTGAAACGCTTCGATAATAATATGAGGATTGATGAGTAAAATTTAATAGTTGAGGTATAAAGTTACTTAAATAACTTTATATTCTTCGAAACGTAATAATTACACGAATAATTGTAAGATCGAGGATAACATAAGAAGCATTTTTAATAAGCGATCACCTTGAAATAAACTGTTATATTTAATTTAAAGTTCACTGAAATTTTATACGGTTTTATTATTGAATGTTGCCAGCAACTATTTCATATTTTTCACTATTTCATAGTTGCTACCTATTTGTTTTTCCTTTCACATACTTCAAATGTTTTGTAAACAGATACACGCAATCAGGTATAATTAAATATATTCATTCAGCTAAACCCATTTACATACCCATTTTTATCTATTGTTTTCATTCAACATAAACTTTATTCGAAATTTTTAACTAGTTATTTTTTCAACCAAGAGAGTCAACTGCCCGTCTGTACTCAAGTTACTTTCAATCGTCACGCTTGTCGCAACAAATCTACTTACTTAATTGATCAAACGCGGTCTCAAGGAAGGATAAATAAATTTTCGTTGTTCAATCTGAGCGCGCGATGCAATTCTATCCATCGTTTAATTAAAATGGAGGGGAAGGAGGGAAGTAGGGAACAAGCGTCCCGTCACAATTGGCTCGAAGCATTATCAAATTCTCAAATGGCGGACATCGACTCGCGTCGATCGAAAACCTATTAAACATCCAATTCAAACCTCGAAACCTTTCCCCCAAACCAATCCCAATCCGGGCCCCGCGCACCATCGGCGCTGTTTACGACTTCCGTTTTACTGCTTTCGCGTGGCCAGGGAAACGTCGGATCAAAATTGGCCACGCAATCCAACGATCGAAATCGCTTGGTTTTTCGATCCGTAACGAAAATATCGAGAGTTTGTATGAACATATTTGACCATTTGGCTTGCTTATATTTTTCCAAAATATAATTCTTTATTGGTAAACCGAGAGTAAAAGTTATCCTTAAAAGACCGGTTTACTGGGAAAAAGAATTAGGTTCGAGAATTTGAACATCTGCGAAAATGGCAGATCTTCGAAGAATGATGGATATTTATTGTTGTATTGAGAACTTAATTCTCAATGTCCAATTAAAAAAATAGTAATAGGAAATAGAAAAAGGCGTTGTCGAAGAGCAATGATATTACAAGCAATGAAAAAATAAAAATAATAAATAATTTTTAATTTCAATGAACACTTGGAGAGAGTTTTTATAAATCAACGAGTAATTCTTGGTACATATTGTTCGTTATCGAAAAATATGTTGGAGAATTTGAAAATGGAGTTTCAGAAACGAAGCCAAAGCCAAAGGCAAAAATAAAAGGAACGAACACGCTTGAGCAAGAATAATTTTTAGTAGATATCACGTTAAACGTTAATTACTCAAAGGAGTAATCTTTCGTTCATTGTACGTAAAGTAAAATATTGTCGAGAATATTATTATCCAAATATATTCGAATCTTGCCATCCTCGAATATCTTCGCTCCTCGAGGCGGCCATGTTTGCGGACTTTGGAGGCTGTTCGAGGTTCCAGCGGTCGAGTTGCAAACTTTTCGATCCAGGAACTGTTCCCAGGGACAGGTTTCTTTTATAAGAAACCACTCTGTAGGATCTTGGAGAAGGGCTTTCAACGTCGCATCAATCGAGAAGTTTCTGTCTCTGTTGGAAAAAGTCGTGCCTCGGCCAAACAGCCTTTTTACCTGCAATCAGACTAACTTCGCGGCAAGTTTGATTGACCCGCCATCACGAAGAAACGCCAATTCCTTCTTCTTTTTTTTCCTTTTTCTTTTTTTTTTTATTCTTTTAATTCTTCTTCAGATTTTTATTTTTTTTTTCTTCCTTCTCTTATCCCAGAGAGTCTTTTTAATTCGAAGCGTTTTCGTTTTCTTCTTTGTTTCAACTTTTTATGAAAGCTCGATTGATTACTTCTTCCGATGTAATTGTTGAGAAAAAGAAAACTCTTCTTTCTCGAAGAGTTTGTTAAGATACGTGGAACGATTTTCGAGTTTAATCGGTTTTGAAATCGGATTGATTCGATTAAAAAAAAAAAAAAAAAAAAATAGAAAAAGAGAAAAATAATATCGCGATATTATAAATTATTATAATAACAAATTTTTAATTCGTATTTTTTAAATTTTTATTTCGTATGTTTAATTTATATCTATAAATGAAAAAATAAAATAAAATAAAATTTTCCAACTTTAAAAATATCAAAAAAAATTTCATCCCCAAAATATAATTCACCACGCGTATCTTCACGCTCCACAAACAAGGCGATAAATCCTTGATCAAATATGCCATTAGTTGCTCTCCATTTCTCGTGTCCCATTTATTAAACGGGGGAAAAGGATATTATAGAAAAAAAAAAAAAAAAAAAAAAAAAAAAAGGATGGAAAAAAAATAATCCAGCTGAGGTTAATCGCGACGTGACCGAAAACCGATCTCAATTTCTGTTTATTGACATAAAAACGACGAGAAGGAGGAGGAGGAGAAAGAAAGAGAGAGAGAGAGAGAAATAGAAAAGTTTATTCGGTGGATCATTAAAAAAAAATAATCGACCGCGAATCGATTAAAATATTTCGTTTCGCGACACGATTCTTTTTTTCTTCACCATTTTCCACAACGATTTTAAACATTAGCGCGCGTTAAGTGTTCCAACTTGCGAAAGAATAAAATATCGTTCTGAGCAATTATCCGCTCGGTGGAATTATGCCATTTTCCGTTTTTTTTTTTTTTTTTTTTTTTTTTTTTATTCGCGGCGAATCAGAATTTCGTATTCAGTCCACCTCTGAATTTATTATAACTGCAAATTTCATTGATGCAAAATTAAGAAATGGAAGTTTCGTTCTTTCTCGAAAGTGATTTTTCTTTGAACTGAAATTTCTTTTCGACAATCTTTTCAAAATAAAAGATGGATAATTGTGATAAGTTGCCGTCGTTCTTTCCGATTAATTCGTAATTTAAGTTTTTTTTTTTTTTATTGAGAACGGAATTTCCATGACATTTACATCCATATGTTTGTTGTCTGGAACCTTCGGATGGGCGAAACAACGTCGTGTAAATGTCATCGTGGAGGAGGAACAGACAGTGTGTCTGCAGAGAGGGAGAGAGAGAGAGAGAGAGCAATACCCTCGAGATTATTTCCTTTCGCCTAAGTTACGCGATCCGACTTCCTGCGGATTCCCCCTATCCCAAGGAACCAACAAAGCCGGTCATATTCCGGAAATTTCGTAAAAGGGCGTTCGAGGAAACGATCGCCTTGATTAAATAATAATACAGGGAACGATGATACAAGTAATACGATTAAATAATTATCGAGTAAATTAGATCCTCTTCGTTGAATTGCGAGTTTTTAATATTGGAACAAATAGAAGAATTCGATTCGATGATCAAAGTCAAATTTTAAATATTTCTTCTGTTTTTTGAGTTTCTTTTTCGAATTTCTTCGAAGAATATTTTTTCTATTCGATCTATGATTATTGTTTCGACGTTACGTTTT